TATATATTTAGATTTTGTTGTTGTTATTGATTGCCTTCAAGTTGAGCACAACTGATAGAGACTCTATGAACAAAAGGCCTGAATCCCCTATACAACTATTGACATTTATCAAAGTTCATAGAGTTTTTGGAGGCATGTTATTTAGGAAGTGGATGCCACTCCTGCTTCCAAATCGGTCATAGTATGTTATTGTTGTTATGTGCCATTGAGTCGTCTGAGATGTATAGCGATCCTATGTACAGCAGCTCTGAACCCTATTCTGTCCTGAGCTAGTCTCACTAATTCTGACACACCAACCCCCATTGCCCCATCCCTGTATCAATCCATCTCATCCAGGGTCTATCATAATGGCTGTTAATGATATCCAGGAAGTGGAGTGAGGATAGTATACTTAGCACACGAGGCACAAGAAAACCTTTTGAAAGAGAGATATATTTACTATCTTGTTTGTAATAGAATGATGATTCTCAGAACTCATAGAAGACGACTTAATTTTACTTTCTATTACTTATATCTTAACAAATCCTTAAGTTTAAAAATGTGCATTAGTACATAAAACATTTAGCATAAATTGTTGTTGTGTACCGTTGAGTCATAACCGACCCCTGGCTGACCCTCTGTAGGCTTTTCAGAGGCAGTTCATCAAAGAGCGATTGCCCATCCTCCATCTGCGGAACAGCTGGTAGCCTCGAACCACTTGCCTTTAGGCTTGCAGTACAGCTTCTTGCCACTGGGCCACCAGACCTCCCTATTAGCAATCATTTGAATGACAATTGACAGAAAAGGTTAGGCAGTTTAAGGAAAATTAGAGGTGAACTGTGGTTCCAATCTAGATTGTTCATATATTAACTAGGGGCTGAGTTTGTAAGAGTCCATTTGCTTATTATGAAGGTTTGACAATGAGTATAAACTGTGTAAACGGTAGCGCCACAAAAGGACTTACTGACAAGACAGCAAAACAAAATGAAAGGGTTGCATAAATTTGGCAGTGAGCTGGGAAGTAGTTTGCGAAGTCACTGCAGTGTAAGAAAACGTGGTTGTGAAATGAACTGTGTAATGGAGTGTGCACACGTCTTGTTCCTTAAGTCCAGAGTTTAGTCCAGGTCCATTCTGTAGACTGTTTAACCACTCTAATGAGATTAGCAAGCCCGAAACGAAAAGGATATCAACCCCAGGGAAGCGCTGAGTTGTCACAACTTTCAGGATTGGACAATGAGCCTCGGAGACAGACCACACTCGGCTTCCACAACCACAAAAACAGACTCTGCTGTGAGGAGTGGGTCAGATCCTTTCCTTGCTGCTCCTTCCATCCAGGCCATCTCAAGAGTTCCCACCCCAGATCACTGCTGAGCTTCCAGAGCCTCACTTAGTGGTGGCACAGTCTTTCAGGGTGGAGCCAGGGAATAAAAAATTAGCTGCATCTGCATCTTCTTCCAGCCACAACCTTGAACTTGGACCCAAGATGAGTGGTAATCAGTGCCTAAAGCTTGACCTGTCAAGTGTATCGAGAGCACGTGGTGCGCACGTGTTTGCACGAGTTTGCGCCTCCTCGCGAGTTCTAATAACCATCACATGACAATGGCCATGTACCTCTGGGCGCACTGTCTGCACCCCCAATCCTTCCAAGTCACCTTCAGTGACACAAGGAACCAAAGAGCATGAGCCAGACCCCGCCCCCTCGAAGCAGACCCCGCCCTCCCGTGTCAGACTCCGCCTTCCCAAGCTAGACTCCGCCCTCCCAAGCCAGACTCCGCCCTCCAGAGGCCGACCCCACTCCACGCCGGAAGTGTACTAATCCGCCGCACGTGGGGTTGCCAGGGCTCAGTTCATGTGACTGGGCGGGGCCTCAGGGAGATGGGAGCCAATGGCAGGCGGCGGGGGCGGTGCCTGTGACGCTCCCGGGGCCTATCCCGGAAGTGGAGGGGCGGTGGGGGCGGGCACGGGCGGGGAGGCAGGGGTGTGGAAAGTGTGGCGGCCCCGCCCCGAGCCTGGGCGCTGCCGCCGCAGCCGTGGGGGGGCAGCCGTGGGGGGCAGGCGCCGGGGCTGCAAGGTGAAGACGCGGGGGAAGCGGGTGGGCAGGGCGCGGAGCGGGGCAGGGCCGGGGAAGGCGATCCGAGACCGCGGGGAAGGAGGGATGCTGGATGCGGGGATGGAGCGAGCCCGGGACCCGCGCAGTCCAGGCCCGCAGCGGCCGATCGGGCCCGGGCTGCCTGCAGGATCGGGGCGCCCCGCGACCCCGAGGGCTGGGTGCAGCCGGCCGGGCCTTGGGAGCCCGGGCTGTGCGGGAATGTGCGGCCTGGGCTGCGCCGAGGGGAGCTGGGCTGCGGAGCTGGGCTGGGCCGCGCGGGAAGGTCGCGGGCTGCAGCTGCGGCGGGGCGTTCGGGACCCGGACCTGCTGACCCCTCTGCACAGGGGAGAGCACGGCGGGGCCGCCTCCCTCCTCCCAGCGAGCTCCTCCCCTGCTCCCACCAATGCATGCAAAAGTTTGTGGAGGCCACACTTCCAAAGTGCAACGGTAGCTCGGATTGCATGGTATAGAGAAATGCAAAGCTCATAGTTCCCCCAGGGTGCAAAATCAATGATCCCTGTGCCCTGCCTGCACATTGGTTATTAAAATGCAAACTCAAACTTTTTTTTGCCTAGTTCCCTGGGAGAAAAAGCGATCCTCTCCCCAGCACACCATGGCGGATGAAATTGATTTCACCACTGGAGATGCTGGGGCTTCCAGCACTTACCCTATGCAGTGCTCGGCCCTGCGCAAAAACGGCTTTGTGGTGCTCAAAGGACAGCCATGCAAAATAGTAGAGATGTCAACTTCCAAGACGGGGAAGCATGGCCATGCCAAGGTAGGTGCCCTGCCGGGTCTGACTTTGACTTCAGCGTTGGAATTTTGAGAATCCATATTCCGTGCGGATGATGAGATTTTTTTATACTTAAAATTTTATGGTAAGCTCCCTTTCCCCACCCACTTATCACTAGGGGTTCACCTACTACTTTGAATACTGAAAGATGGCATTTCTTTCTTGTACTCTTGTAGTGCTTTTTCTATGAACAGAACTGAAGCTTTCTTGAATCCAGGTGAGGTGAGAGATCACTTCTGTAGGGGAACAACCACAATGAAATCCAGGGTGACTGTGTCACACACATAATGAAAAGGAAGCAGTATCACTGGACAATTTGTGTAGAAAAGGTTGTTGAAGAGGACAGTAAACTTGCTCTGTAAACCTACATGCAAAACTTAATAAAATACTATTTAGAGAATTTATTCTAAGACTTGACTGTTCTAAGAAACCTAAATTTGTTATCTTGTCCACTTAATTTGTATGACCGGACTCTGATTTTCAGTCTTAGAATGTCATGATACTGGTTAGTTGTTGACGACTCTCAGTTCTATGACCAGTGCTGCTTTTTTTTTTTTTAAAAAAAAAGAGTAAAATTAGATGACCTTGAAAGGAGGAGAGAGAATCTGTCATAAGCAGCGTTGGTCTTGTGCTTTTGGTTGGTATGTATTGACTGATACACTTGGCAGAGACTGACCAGGTTACCTGTTCTCTTCCTGTTAGGTTCACCTTGTTGGAATTGATATTTTCACTGGCAAAAAATACGAAGATATTTGCCCGTCTACCCACAACATGGATGTTCCAAATATTAAGAGAAATGATTATCAAGTAAGTACTAATTTTTTTTTATAGAGTGCTGAGTGTTTCTTAAAGGTGCCACTACTTTCTACTGTCAGTTGTAGTTTAACAAAACTGAGAGTGACTTTGTAGGTTTTTTCTAACAGTCATTAGCCACTACTCATCCTCAGCTTAGAAACTGTAGAAATTCCATAATATTTCATACTTGTGCCCTAGGTTTATTGCTGGTTTGTGATACTATTTTTCCCTTAAATTATTGTGCTTTTTTAAAAAAATTGAAGGGCGCTCTGGTGGCCTAGTGGCAAGAAGCTGTACTGCAATCCCAGAGGTACATGGTTCGAATCCATCAGATGCTCTGCTGGAGAAGAAGGAGCAATCTCCTCCAGTACCAGTCAGATCCAATTTAATGGTACACACACACAAAATAATAAAATAAAAAATAAAATTTAAAACAAAAAAATTGAGAACTTAAATGGAAATCCAAATTCATTATAAACTCATTCAAATCTAAAAAAAAAAGGAATGGCATTAAAAAAGAGAACTTAGTGTTCCTCAGAGACAGTAGCAATAAATTCCATGTTTAATAAAATTACTGTTTTGTCTCTTGTAAAAGAATCCAAAGTTAGATGGCTCCTTTCTGAATATCTTCTTTCTCACTGACCTGAGACACTTAAGAAACTATTAAAATTTAAATTGCCACCAACAGAGTTTGTGTATTATTGGATGTAATGAGGATTTTGTTTTCTTAAATAGTAAAATAAACTAAAAGCCATGAAGTTAAGCAGTATAGACCATCCTGCCTATGTTACGTTTATTCAATGACCATGCTGTGTCAGTGCTTTTGTTAAATTTTACACATAAACTTGCAACGTTTAGTTTCAGTTATGTATTTGGATAAACCAAAACAAAATTCACTCCTGTCAGGTTGCTTGCAGTTCATAGCCACCTTGTAAGGCAGGTAGAACTGCGCCGTAGGTTCCCGGGCTGTCATCCTTACTGAAGCAAGCGGCCCTGTCTTGCTCCTCTGCAGCAGCTTGTAGGTTCAAACAGCTCACCTTCCAGTTAGCAACCGAACACTTAACCCACTGCACCATCAGAACGTTGCTGTTATGCGCCATCAAGTGAGAACTGAACCATAACTGATGGTTCAGTTATGTTCAGTTAAAACCTCCAGCAGGTTTTCAGAGGCAGTAAGTTGAGTAGGAAGAACAAGTCCATCTTTTTCCCCCAGGACAGCTGGTGGATTTAAACCATGGGACTCTGAGTTGTCGTTGGAGCTCATCGCTCCTAGACCACCAGACACTGTCGGTTGTCCACTCTCTGGCTTCTGACCCTGTAAATCCTTATAGAAGGAGCCGCTGGTAAATCTGAGTCACTAACCTTTTGGTGACTAGCCCATTTGTGTGCATAAATCTATTACTCTCAAGAACTGACCCTTAGCTAACCCGCCATTGGGTTTCTAAGGCTGTGGATGACAGGGGGTGACTGCCCATCTTTTTCCCACTGAGTCACTGGGGGAATTCAAATCACCAGAGAGATGTGACCTTTGAGTTTGCAGTTCAGCTTTTAGTGATGATGTCCTTAGAGCTCTGTGTTTGGATGGGTTATATCGTAACATTTTGGTGGAGTATTAATGATAACCAAGAAATTGACCTTTTGGGATATAGGAGCTAAATGAATCATAATGAATGCCTTTCTTGATAGTCTTCCATTCTATAACAAGCATATCAGATATGGAAACCTCTTTTTTATTCATTGTAGACAGTGAAAATACCAAGTTTTATACTTAGATTTGTTTTATCTAATTTGAACACATTTCTTTCTATTCCTTACTGTATAAGCTTTTTTTTTTCTTTTTTTTTTTATGGTGAGAAAAACTTGTATTTAGAATTAGCCAGCTGGGCTCAGTTTAGATAATCTCAATTTTGTTGGCAACATCCAAAGCATCACAGTCAGGAGCAAGTCGAACACAGGCCTTCTTCTCTCCATCAGTGTTGACCTTGGCCACATCAATGTCATAGAGCTTCTTTACAGCTTGTTTAATTTGGTACTTGTTGGCCTTGACATCCACGATGAACACAAGTGTGTTGTTATCTTCTGTCTTCTTCATGGCTGACTCAGTGGTCAGGGGAGACTTGATGATGGCCTAGTGGTCAAGCTTGTTTCTCCTGGGGGCGCTCTTCCGGGGGTGTTTGGGCTGTCTTCGGAGTCTCAGCGTCTTAGGCCGCTGGAAGGTGTGTGACGTGTGGATCTTCTTTTTTTTTGTGGCACTGATATCCTTCAGGACGGCTTCCTTGTCCTTTATGCCTTTGCTTTGGCTTCAGTTTTGGGAGGGGTAGGGGCTTCCTTCTTCACTTTTGGGGCCATCTTCGTAGAAAGGACTGTATACGCTTTTAAAGAATGTTCTCATCAACTGCAACCACCTAACTTATTCTCTTTACTCTTTATACATATGCAAACATAACTTTGCATTGTTTTAATTATAATAAACAATTCCATATTTTAGTTTGCCACTTATAAATATTTTCTAGGTTGTTTGAAGTCTTTCTGTACTTTTCAGTTGTCTTTGGACAGATTTCTCAAACTTTGATCTTCTGTCTACAAAAGAGGGATAATGTTGTGAGGATTAAATGAGCAAGTGTACTCCGTAGAACCTTGTCTGTAGATTGTTGTTGTTAAATGCCACCATGTTGACTGTGACTGATACTCATCCTATAAATAACATATCTGAACCTGCCCTACTCTGTACTTTCCTCACCGTCCCACTGTGCTCAGCCCATTGTCAGTCACATGTCAGTCCATCTTGTTGAGAGACTTCTTTTTCTCTGACCAAAAAGTAGTTCTTTTCTGCTTTCCTGTTCTGGACAAGACTTGCATTTAATCTTTCTGTTGTTGTTAGAGTAGCTCCCATGGGCAGCCAAGAGAACAAACAGATACGTCTTGGAGAAGGGACAGCTGGAGTGCTCTTTGGCGGCAAGAATGATGCAGCTTCTCCTCATACTTTGGGCAAGTTACTAGGAGAAGGACAGATGCTGGGAAGGGTGGAGGGTCAGAGAAGGAAAGGAAGACCCTCAACCAAGAGGATTGATGTGCCCTTCGCAATGGGCTCTTTGACGCCAGGAGGGGTGAGGATGGTGCAGGATAAAACAAGGCTCACATCTTTTGTTTATGGGGTCACTGTGTTGAGTACCGTCAAGTCGCAGCCGACCCACGGCAGACCTTCCCCTGGGTTTTCAAAGGCACTTTAATCTCAAGAGAGGAGATTGCCCATCTTTCTCCCGCAGAAGAGCTGGTGGGTGCACACTGCATTCCTTCAGATTGCCGCACAGCCTTGTTACCGCCAGGACCACCAGTCCAAAGACACACGGTTTGACTCTATTAGCTGTTCTTGGAAGAAAGACGGGTAATCTCCTCCAGTGCAATTTACTGCCTATGAAAACCCACACAAGGGTCAGCTAGGAGTTGGTTGCAACTCGGCATTCATGGTAATAATTGAGACTTCGGCATGCAGGCAGTGTTTAATAGACTTTTGATGAATGCTTATGTGATTATTCAATGTGCTAAATATTATTATTACATAATAAGGCATAGCTGATATGCATGCACGTGTGTGCGTGCGTGCGCGCGCGCACACACACACACACACACACACACACACCCTCTGGTGGCCTAGTGGCAAGAAGCTGTGCAGCAATCCAATCCCAAAGGCACATGGTTCGAGGCCACCAGCGGGAGAAATCTGGGCAGTCTCCTCCCATGTGATTAACTGCCTTTGAAATCCCACCAGAGAGTCAGCTTAACAGTACACAACAACATAGAAATATAAATACATGTTGTTGTTGTTGATTGCCTTCAAGTCAAGCACGACTCATAGCGACCCTATGAACAAATGGCTTGACACCTTTCTATATCGACTTTTATCAAAGTTCATAGAGTTTCCAGAGGCATGTGGCTTAGGAAGTGGATGCTACGCCTGCTTGTATATACATACATATTGGTGTGTGTGTGTGTGTGTGTGTGTGACACACACATAAAAACAGGATTGTAGTATGCCAAAATGGATTTCTGTATTTTCATCCCTAAAATATGAGCGCTTTGAATATTTAGTGTTAGAATCTTTTTGTCTGTTGGTTATTTTGGAAAGATAGGTAGCAGTAGTTGAGATAATTAGTATTATCAAGTTGCTTAATTTCTAGACCTCAAACTTTAGCCTAAAGGAAAAATTTCATGGTTTCATTATGATACAGAGTAGGGCCAGGAATAGGCTAAGATAAGTAAGATAAATAAGGCCTTTTGTTGGGTACAACGTTTTAAGTTGACATTATAAATGACAGTACCAATTATTATTAATAATAATAATAATAATATGTATTGGCATGTGAGACAAAGAGAAATTAGTGATTCTGACCCTTTGTTAACCCTGCCCATTAAAGAATTTCTGCATTACTTTTTCGTTTTTAAATGTTGCATTAGAATACTTGTGTACTTTGATCACTGAGTTCTTTTGCATCCATGATGAATCTCATTTGCTTCCCCCTAGCCTGAGACTTGGTGCAGGGCTTACACTTCACGGTGGTAAGAGGATGGTTGGGCTATGCGGTCCGGGTACACGTCTCTGTTGGCCCAGCCTAGCTCTGGGATCTCAGTGGGCAGGGTACTAGCCCTCTCTCTTGCCTCCCTGTGTCAGGATGGCCTTCTTGGTTACCTGTCTGAGCATGTTGGTGAAAGTCCTACGTTTTCTTTATCTCTGTTTATAGCGCTTTGTGTTTGCTGAATTCAGGATTCTGTCAGTTTGACAGTTGGGTACAGTGAGGATATCTTTATCTGTTCATTATAGTAATTAATAAGTAAACTTTATAGAAAGGCAGGTATTAAGTATTTACAGTTTTCACTTCTAAGTGAAAATAAATTCAGAATGAAAGAACAATGGTCTCCTGACTGTTTGATTCTATGATGTAGCTCAGAAGCATCTTTGGTGGATAGAATTGCGGGTTTTCATTGCTTCTCAGAGTTAGAGTCTCACTGATGGC